TAAATCTCTGCCCAGCTCCACTGATGTCACTCAAATGATATTGGCTTCCTGCAGGCAGTTGCATGTTCACTGCAACTGTCTTCAAAAAGAAAGCTAGTCCTTTGTGGAATTAAACCCAATTCTGAAAGAGCACCAAGTTGAAGCCCTCAATGTGCTGTAAAATGTCATGGTTCATGAAGCTAAATGCAAATTAAAAGTGTATGGTCCAATGTAAAATTAAAACTACAGAATGAAACAATTAAGTAAAAATAGAGTAGAAGACGGATAACCACAATGGCAAATTTAGCATTAAACAAATTGTTTCTATATATTCCTTGCTGACTGGTGATGAAAATTTGTTCATTTGTTAATAAATTCTAATGTTTAGGAGAGGTCACATCAAATGACTTAAAAGCTTACAAAAATGATTTTAGCTTTTATGGATATTTTTGTTCATGTGTTATTCCTAATGCTTTAAAATACGTATACTTTGTAAATGTGGGTATGTATGTATATATGAACACATGGGTATTCCCAAAAACTATAAATAAAAAAGAAGAGACAACAGCAGCTAAAATATATTTCTGACTCAAAAATGTAACTCTTCGTACCTTCCACATAAGGATGAAAGAAGCAGACTGAGAAGAACAGCATGGAAAAATCTGTCACCCTAATATGAAGCTTAGGATATTATTACATTTCCGTGCCTGAGCTATATTTAGCGTGGAACTAGCAGGCCATACCAATAGGGTGGTAAAAAGCTTATACAAAAGTCATCACTTCAATGGTCATGAATAGGGTCCTTCTTTCATATTGAATTATCTGGAATTTTTTTCTGGAAGGTAGATGATTTCATCTGTGTTGTGTATGGATGGAGATTTTGAAAGCTTCTGAGCATATGCAGGCCTTTGGAAAAGTATGAGATACATTTTCCAGGATGTGGTGCAACTCAAACTGCACTAGGCATTATACAGGAATATCCATAGCTTCTGCAAAGACTGAACTAAAAGGATTTCATTGAGGATGGGGAACATGCAGACACTGAAATATTGTTGGACCACAGTTCTCACCAGCCCAATGAAGCATGGGCTAGCCTAGAGAATCATGGGTTCCCTGAGTCACTCTGTGAGCACCCAGCAACAGTGAGACCTGAATCAACATCTTCCTAGATTATTTTCTCAGCCACCATATACATTAGTGCAGCCCAAAATCAGCCTTTCCCCCATCCAATATAAAGTCTCAGTTGCTTTTATTGTCTATCGTGTTTATCATGGGGACGGAGTCAAGCAAAGGATAATATATGTGAAAGCCCTAAACATGTACTTTTATTTTATTTTTAGTTTATTTTAGCATGCTGGATGCATTTAGGCCAACATTTGTAAAACACTAGTCACATTAATCCTTATAAATAATTAGACTGGATTTTGACTCAGCTCTGTGCAGCCAGCTAGTTGCATCAGCCCTTGCCTTGACAGCTTCTGCTTAACATTTAAGATTTTAAATGAATTCATGCTTCCTGAAGCAGTGTAATTAATGAGACTTCAGAAATAGAACAAAGACTGACAGTGTTTAGACAAGAAGAGAAGACCAACAGGTTTGATTAATTGGAATGTGCCAAGGAACTGAGTAATTGCTGTTTACAAACCATATTGTAGCACATGTTAAATCAGACTGATTGTGTATGTGTGTGCATTATAAGCAGGCGCAGCTTAATTTTGAAGTTGAATTATAGAATTAGTAGCACAGTCAAAGGTATGGTAAAGTAGAACCTTAAATGTCACCTCCTATTTCCAACTCATTAGAAAGATCAAGACTATTCAAAATCAAGAGTTGTTGTTCAGCCCCCACTCTACAGATTTACACTTCACTGGGCTTCAAGAATTAACAATTGCATCATTTGACATTTTTAGTATGACGAAAAAAATACAGTTCCCATGTAATATACTGATGTGTAAAAATGGGAGAATACCATACAGCTGTAAAATAATTCCTAGGCAAACTTGATGTCTTTTCCCCATTAGCTTGTGGGCAGGCTTGAGAATAGCAAAGATCAGGAATGTAAGACCAACTGGCCTATAGAAAGAAAACAGAAAATAAAATTTTATTGTCAATTTTTGAATGAGCATGAATGAGGCTGGGTAATAGACAGGCCATCATTTATGGACCCACCTGCTTCCAGACAGTCCACTGCGTCAGGTGGGAATGAGAAGAAAGCAAGGTTCATGGCACCAAGGATGTTTGCAAGCTTCTAATTTACTGTAGTTCCACAGAGATGCCAAGCTTGGTTGCAATACTTTCAAAGTTTTTACCTATTGGTACAAAAACAACCTTATTGTGTACCTTAATGTGAGAGATAGTAACTGTGATCCACACTTCTGTGAAACTGATGTATGGAAGAAACAGCAGCTGTAGCTAGAATAATCCGTGTATATTAGATATAACAGCATTACTGTATAGGTGAAATTGATTTTTAAAAAAAACACAGCTTTTGACATGTTTTGTTCTTATCAGTTCTATGAGATTGGACTCCTGCTGATGGGTTTATTGGAAATCACGATGATGAGGAAATATTGTTGAGTTGTCCTGAATTTCAGACAATGATTTGGGGAAAAACAGTGATTAAGCATTCGGTCTTACCAGATTTAATTTTAAATTAAATGGTAAAATGGTGCTTTCTTAGTACTGTTAAAAGCAGGTTTTCGAATATGCATCTGATTAAGCCATGTGGCAAAACCAGAATATGTGGGTTTGTTCTTGTCCCATTCTGTTGCATGTGCTTGTCAGAAAAACGTCACACAAAAGCAGTTTTACGGCAATTACAGCAGATGGTTAAAAAAAACCCTAGAAACAAAAGGAATTAAAGGAAAAGGAAACTCCACCTCAATCTGGCACATAGATAAGATTTTTCACTATGCATTCATATTCAATTGCGGGGTGGGGATAGTGTGTTATGTAATAGTCAATATATGACAGGTGACCAGTTACCAGAGAATTATAAACTCCAAAAGTCATGTGCTACTTTAAAGAAATGATGGAGTGGATAAATTTACTGTTTCTCCTATTTTTAATAACAGCATCCAAGATTAACATTGCAAACACTGGGAAGCAGCAAAACCACCTTAACATATGGATCAGAATGAGAAAATATAGCCCTTAGCATTGTTTGTGAAATTAACTTACTGTGTTATAAGCCAACAGAACTCAAACAAAAATGGACATCATTCATAAATCTTTGGAATGTGAAATTTCAGGATAGAATATGTCCTTTTATCTATATTACCCTTATGATTGTATATTTTGTACTTTCTGTCTCTTTATTTTCTGTTATAACCTATTGTAGTTTTCTGTATTATGAAAAGAAATGAAAACAAATGACATGTACTGCCAGAGAAAATCAGCTAACATTCAGAAGCATCATTTATTCTATATTATCTTATTGCAAAACAATTTATGGGTACTTTTTTAAACATTCCTCACAAATGTATACTGATATTAATAATGTCTTATTGCTTTCTGTAACAGCTTGATATCCTTGAGACAAAAAAGTGCCCCACCCCTTGTTTTGAGTACATAGCAAAATTCTAGAAGAAAAAAGAGAGGCTCTTATTAACATAAGGGTGAAGTCAATATGAGGTGGAGGATCAATCATCCTGCATGAAGCTTTTGTCTTCTAGCATATGCTGGATGTAATTAGGCAACGACTCAACCCCCCCCCCCCCCCAGCAA